CATAAATCAACTGAGCCACTGTGCTGGGCTCCATTTCTTTTTTAATTTTTTTTAAATTTAAAAAAAATTTTTTAAAGATTTACTTATTTGTATTTAAAAGGCAGATTTTACAGACATAGGAGAGACATTGTGATCTTCCATCTGCTCGTTCACATCCCAAATGATTACAATGGCTAGAGCTCAGCTGATCTGAACTGAAACCAGGAGCCAGAAACTTCTTTCTTCAAGTTCTCCTACATGAGCAGGAAGCTAAGGTCTTGGACCATCCTTTGCTGCCTTCTCAGGTCATAAGCAGAGAAATGATCAGAAGCAGAGCAGCTGCGACCCAAACCAGTGCTCCTAGGGGATGCCAGTGCCACAGGCAGAGAGGGTAACTGCTGTGCCACCATGCCAACCTCGATGCACAATCAGTTCTATAAAAAGTTTTTCTACTTCATGGTAGACATAAAAATGAATCTAGGGAGGAATCAAGATTTAAATAATGAGTAACAATAGTTCAGTCCTTTAAAATATATGAATGATATGACATTTTTATTGGCAGAATCTGTTAAGGCAGAAAATCACAAATCAGCACAATGTGTAAATATTTATTAAAGAAATTAAAGAGGAATCATGTTTACCTAAAAATTGTTAAATATTTCTATGATTAAAATTATTAACAGGGAGCTAAAACAATCTGGGAAAAAGGAAGGTCTCTTCAACAGATGCGGATGGGTCAACTGGCTAATAACATGTAGAAACAAGAAGCAAGACCTATCCCTTGCACCATACACAAAGATCAAATCTAAATGGATAAAAGATCTAAACCTACACCCAGAGATCATCAAACTTTTGGAAGAAAAAGTTGGACATACTGTGCAAGACATAGGAATGGACAAAAACTTCTTAGAAAAAAACACCAAAAGCAAAAGAAGTCAAGACCAAAATAAACAAATGGGACTACAGTAAACTAAGAAGTTTCTGCACAGCAAAGGGAACAATCAACAAAATAAATAAGAAACTAACAGAATGGGAGAAGATTTTTGCACACTACACAGAAGACCAAGGGCTAATTTCCAGAATATACAGAGAGCTCCAGAACAACAATAACATCAAAACAAACAAACCAGTCAAGAAATGGGCACAGGAAATGGCCCATTTTTACAAAGGAGTAAAATGGCCCATATATTACAAAGGAGTAAATTCAAATAGCTAACAAACACATGGAAAAAATGCTCAAGCTCTCTGGCAATAAGGGAAATTAAAATAACACAATACTGAGGTCCCACCCAATGCCTGAAAGAATCGCCCACATACAGAAAACTACCAACAACACCTGCTGGTGGGAATGCAGACTAGTGCAGCCACTACGGAAGTCAGTATGGAGAACACTTAGGCAATTAAACGTTCACCTACCATACAACCCAGCAATACCACTTCTAGGAATATATCCAAAAGACTTTTTATACAACAAATGTATAAAATGTTTATTGCATCCCAATGTTTATTGCAGCATAATCAACAATCGCAAGAACTTGGAAGCAATCTAAATGCCCACCAACAGAGGACTGGATAAAGAAACTGTGGTTCATCTACACTATGGAATACTACCAAGCAATTTAAAAAAATGAAATGCATTACTTTGTGGCCAAATGGGCCAACTAGAGACCATAATGCTAAGGGAAATGGGCCAATCCCAAAAGGTTAGATATCATATCTATGCTCTAATATAACATAATATGATGTCAAATCTAGAGATATCATATGTGAATCTTACTCTACGTTAATCAGTGTTACTTGCTTGTACCTAATGTAACAAGAACTTGAGATGTAATTCATTAATTAACTATCCACAAGAGGTAGATTCTTTATAACCACCTGTGATTGTCAGTGTCCACATATAACTGTTACTGGTATAAACAACCAAGACCTAATCCTCATTGTAACTATACTAGAGCCCCAGGATACAAGAATTTATATACAACAAAAAGTTATTCTTCTACATGGCTGGGAGAGATACTCCAGTGGACGCATGATGGACTTGGGAAAATTCACGATGGACACACGTTATGATTCTAGAGAGGAGAACAAGGGGGGGGAGGGGAGAGTCCACTACCAACTAAATTGTATCAAAAAATAACAAAACTACAAAGAAAGAAGCAGCCAAAAAAATTAAAGAATATTATTAGAAATCTTAAAAAAATACGTACACACTTACATCAAATTAGCAAAACACATAAAGGAATAAAAGAAAACCAAATAGTTAATAAACATTTAAAATTACTACATTAGTAGTGAAAACAGACGAATCAACACTAATAAAATACACTTACTTTTTTTCAGATTAAAAAGACTATTTAAAATATGACAGGTAGAGGCAGGTATTTAATCTAAGAATTGTGATGCTCTCCTGCTGTATCAGATGCCTGGATCTGATATATATCTCTGGCTCATAAATACAGCCTCCTTATGCGGCAATGATGATGGCTCAAGTAACCGGGCTCCTTCACACACCCAGGATGGACTATCAGCTCTTGGCCTCCACCTTAGCCATCCCAATCATTGCAGGCATTTGGAAACAGAACCAGAAGGTAGCTCATTTTCTTTTCTCTGATCCTCCTTCTGCTACTCTCCCTCCTGCACGCCTCCCTCCCTTCATTCCTCTCAAATACATGCCTAATGTTGTTTTATTAAAAGGCACCGAACAAACATTACTCATGATGTGTAGTGATGAGAACTCTCACAAAGAGTTGAAGAGAGTATACCTGATTTGGCTACTTGGGTTAACTGTCAGCAATGTTTGGTTCCCTCTGGAGTCTAGAGGGAAACTGACATCCGCCGGATCTCACCTGCAGTCCTTCTATGTTCCACTTCTCCAACCAGCTCTCTCTTGGTAATCAACAAGAACTCAATACAAACGATCTCCCTCGCTACTTCCTCAGTTCACTGAGATGAAATTGTCAGCAAGGCTAATCAAGATTTCAACACATGCTTTACTTTTAGTAGGATAAGAATATGGGCAGAGGTCCAGGGATTTAAACTTCCTAATTATTGTTATATTTCACATCCTCACAACGTTTGTGGTCTGTATTCAGAAATAAATATCCATATGATTTCCCATTTCTTCTGAGACAAGGGTTTTAAAGATTACCCATTCGTGTATTCTCATTCATGGTTGCCAGGCTACCAGTCATCTAGAAATAACTTCCTAGAAATGTGTTGCTCTTCAGATTTAAAGAATCTCACAGATTGCTGACCAGAAAAATTTCTTGCCTTTTTAAAAAATTCATATTTTCTTTTGATAAAAATTAAAAGCCATTCCTTCCAGGTTTTCAAATGTCAAGATAAATATCTAAAAATAAATCAAATAAACCAGACAACGTACTTCTTTTCCATGAGACTCTAAATTAGTCTTTAAGGAACCCCATCCTTTTCCTACCCTGCAACCTTTTTATAGAATCGCCACTGCCATATGAATAGGATATGCAGTGTGTCCTTGGAAGTGATAAGAACTACCCCATCAATAAAGTATGAAACAAAACCTTATACATGCCTCCTATTTGATGAAAATAAGTCTAGTGATTAGGGAGTATAAACATTTTCCTAAGCTACATTATCTAGTACTATCTCAATACTATGCACAATAGTCAGGATTTGAGATCAAGTAAGTGTTGAGTAGTAGATAAATGAATAAAGACAACACAGTATGTAGACATAGTGGAATATTAATCTGCCATAATAAAGAAGGAAAACCTGTCATTGTAGCGAAAGAGATACTACTAGAGGACATTATGTTAGGTGAAACAAGCCAGACACACAAAGACAAATACCTTATGTTTTATTTCATATATGAGAGTTTAAAAACATTCAGATGAACATAAAATAGTAATTACTAGAGGATATTAACATTAGGAGAAATGAGAAGGAGGAGGTCAAGAGGAGGCAGGACAAACGATACCACCTTAGAAACAAAAGAAGTACGAAGCATTATGTACTAACGTGGGAAAATGCTCATTCATAGTAAATTATTATGTACTTTCTGAACAAAGAGAAGAAAAGAGTTCAAAGGCACCAATGATAAAGAAGTGACAAAGAGAGGAAAATGATATTTATCTAGCTTAAATCAGAATATGATATATATATATATGTATCTATATATGCACTATAAATGCTTCATGGTTTCTCATAAATATAATTATTTTTAATAAAAAATTGTTTGAGGAATGAGTTAATGCTAACTTACCTGATCTAATTTTCACATACTGAACACATGTTAATTATCACATGAATCAAATAAATATGTCTAGCAAAACCATTAAAGTCAATAATCCAGAATCAAAATTGAAAATAAATTTTTACTATCTCAATCTAGAAATTTTCACACATTATTACTAGATAGGAAATGCTTATCTATTTAAAAGTTTAAAAAATTGCAAAGTAACAGTTCACATCATTTCAGGTTTAAAGACATGGGCACACATTTTCTAGGCCTGTTTTAAAGGTTTTATTAACATTCTGTTTTGCCTTTTGATTTAGTCACTTGTTTATGAAAAAATGCTCAAATAATATTTAGTTTCTCTGTTACACACTTTGCTTCTCTGTTTTTTTAAAAAAATGACTTAACCAGATAATATCATTTCTGTTACAATATTCTAGGACGTGCAAAATAATGAATACTTTCCTGTTTGGTGGTTTTACAAAACTAGGCCTCTTTTTTATTTATCTTCAGCAAATAAGAAAAGAAGTTAATTAGATCAATGCATGGAACTGTTTGATTATTAGAATTTAAGCTGTCCATTTCCAATTACAACTATACGTACTCAGACTATTAGGAGATGCTTACTTCAGACTAATATCGTATGTCTCAGCTCTGTCTAAAAGATCTGCAATAATTTCTTAATTAAGAGGTAAAAAATCTATGCTGAGTACTAATTCAGTCCTTTGTGTTTATAAAAGGACTGTATGAAAGTATGAACAAATGTGTCTTTTTTATGGGCAGAACAAAAACTTTCTTATCATACCTGTGGACACAAGGTTTCCAGGTGACCAGCTGCAATTTTGACGATTTTAATTCCATCTTCATTTGTTGACATGGAACAAGCAAGATTTGCCACCTTAAATGGAACCAAAAAAAATTGTTTTATACCTTAAAAATAATGTTGAAGCATTGGTTACCCTGAACAAGGACACACACATATTAACCAAAAATATCAGTGACACACTTCATTCTCATTAATGCCACTCATGATTGTTGGTGCAAACAATGACTAAGATCCACAGAGAACTTTTTCTATGACAAAAGTCCATGTGACCCATTATAAGAAATGATTTTTATGTAGCTAGAGTAGTTTTATTTCTATATTGATTGCTACAAGGTTGTTGGGATCTCATATTACTGTGGTTTGTTCGTAATTGGTTTATTATGTCCCTGAGGTCTTTCACACATACTTAACTTGCATTAAGCATGAGTGTTATGTTTATTTAAGTTTTGTTCATCATCAAATGAATTTTGAAACTGGACAAACACAAAGTGATTCAATCATTTTTATGGACAGCATTTCACACTGTAATCATGGATCAGAGGCAAGAAATTATGATACTTTTGAAACAAAATTTTCTTCCAATGCAATGCATATTCTTGTAAATAATTATGATGATGTCATTATCTGAGACTAATAATTACAAATAATTTACACCATGGAAGAGCCTGGAGAAAGAGCATGGGATTCCTTTTCCTTTGTCTGCACCTTACTTTTGCTCAACATTCTTCTGCCAATGCAGTGAGGGTTTACGCACAAAGGTGATGTTTTCTTTGATTGACAAAGCATATCATTGTGTTCTTTATGGCAAGTAGATAGTTTTTCTAATTTCTTTTAATATATTTTATACGATATGTGTCACCTTATTCAGTTTACTGCTCAAACTCAAAATAAATCCAGTTGCAGAAAAATCGCATATTAGCCACTTACAGAGTAAATATATATATTTGATTCATATATTGATTTATATTCTTTGCTTTTCTAAAGCATTACTTTTATTATAGCAAGAGTGAAGCAAACCCTTGATTTGCATTAATATATAATGAAATATCAGGTATACATTATTTAACTATGGAAGGCATTGTTCATTTTATTAATGTACATAGAAATGCTTACTTGAAAAGGTCTTTTGTTGGCTTGAAGGTCACAATATCTCAACTTTCATATTTGACACATAATTAGCACATTTGTGAATTATTTGAAAAGGGCAATAGTTTGTTCCTCTCTCCCCTCAAACCCACGTTCTGAAAGTGAAACTCAACAGTCTAATTGTTCTCCTATGTACATTACTTTGCACTGCACTTATAGAAAATATACATCTGTAAATGGAAGACTGTTTAATATGAAAAATAGAAATTGTTGACTCATTTATCTGTTTGGAAGAACACTGTTTGAGTCAATGCCTAAACATTACAGAAAATTGCTATATGTAGATACTCTTAAAAATCCTTTTTAAAATTTCCTTTTTTTGTTTTTATTTTTTAAAAATAGATAATCTTGCACTTGACATTTGCTGGTTAATATGTTTGTTTCAAGCCAATTAAATGCCATTGCCTGAAATCATCCTAAAATGGGTTATGTTTACATTGACAGAGTTAATTTCTCAAAACCCCCAAGTGAAAATGTAACAGAAAGTGTACTTTCATTTGCACTAACGCTCACACTAACATTCTGCTTTAATTAAAGATCCAATACTTGTTTAAAATTCTTATCAGAAATTATTACTGTTTCAGCACATCTGAAGTTTTGGTGCTATTTTGTACAAAGTTGAATTTGTATATGACAGGTATTTTTAGTGATAAACTAGGAAAGCTAAGTGATAGAAATAAAATCTCTACAATTTATCTAATTTGAGTAATTTTTTACCTATTTTACAAAGTCACATTTAACAAAAATTATTCTTAAGTTCTTTTTAAGGCATTAAAAGTATGTCACCAACCACACTATAACAGTCGTTCCACACGGGTCAAATAAAAATTTGTGTGTAAGTGAGATATTTAATAAAATAGTTTAAGATTTTTGAATTTTTTGATTTTCTTTGTGTATTTATATTTGACAATTGTCTTAGTTTTTCATTACTACAATGAGAATCCTTTAATTGATATTGAAATGAAGCAAACTATCATATAAAAGAAGCTAATTTAGAGCCTGGAGGTTTAAAGTTCAAAAAGCATGACACAGAGAGAGAGAGAGAAGGAATCTTCCATTCACTGACACATGTAAAACGTCCACAAAGGCTGTAGCCTGGCTGTGTTAAAGTCAGGAGGCTCCTCCAAGTCTCCCACATGGGGGCAGCTCTTGATGTTACTGAAAGTAGACTCAAATTTTCTCTCAACATCTGCGTTGAGAACTCCATTCTCACCACACCTTCTGTCCTCGAAGATGTCACATAATAATCTTTTTTCAACTTGGTTCTTCAGTAGAAAACAAAAGATTTTGCTTTGTTCGTTTGCTATGATGTGTTTTTGGAGTCAGCATCATGGCTAAGGGGCTTAAGCTGCCAACTGTGATGCCCGTGATGCAGCTGTTCCATTTTATTTTCTTTTTTATGACACATCTTATTTTTATTTTAATAGCAGAGCTAAAGAGATGATTTTTAGAGGGATCTTTCATCTAATGGTTGACTTCCCAAATGGCTACAGCAGCCAGGGCAAAATTATGCTGATTTGAAGCCAGGAGTCAGGTACTTCCTCTGGGTTTCCCATATGGGTTCAGGGGCACAAGGACTTGAGTCATCCTCCATTTCCCAGGTCACCAGCAGGGAGCTGTCTTGAAAGTGGAGAGTCAGGACAGAAACTGGCACCTACATGGGATGGCAGCACCATAGAGGCAAGACTGAACCTACTGCATCATGGTGCCTGCCCCCACAACTCCATTTTCATTCAAGCTCCTTGCAAGTGTGCTTGGAAAAGCAGTGGAAGATGACTACATGCTGGGGCACCTGACACCAAGATGGCAGCCTTATGCCAAGCACCTGGTTTCAGTCTGGTTCAGTTGTAGGCATTGTGGCCACTTGAGGAATGAATCAGCAGATAGGAGATGTTTGCTCTCTGTAATTCTGCCTTTCAAACAAATAAATAAATGTGTGTGTGTGTGTGTGTGTGTGTGTGTGTGAGAGAGAGAGAGAGAGAGAGAAAGGAAGGACGGATGGAATGGAGGAAGGAAGAAAGGAAGGACAAAAAATTAGTGACAACAAATCCTGGCAGAACAATTCCTGAAAAGAATCAATTCTCCTCTTTCAATTCTGTATGCCTCTTAGATTCCTCTTAAAATATTCCTTTTATGGTATTTCATGGACTTTGGGTCCTCCTTTCTATTTTTCATAGAAAACAGTATTCTTTCTACCGTAACCCAATTTTTGGGTGAGAAAGTCCCTTCTCTGAAAACTAGTAGTTTTAGAGCCCTGCGAGCTAGGCTAGCTGTGTTTGTCACTCTCCATCTATGTCAGGAAGATAGCCTTACATAACCCTAAACAGTGACTCCTTGTATTACAAAAGATTTCCATAAAATGGCTATTAGGGGATATAAAATTTTCTTAGTGTCCTTTAAATAAATCTAACATTTGTAGGCTAAGTCTACTTTTCATCATTACTTCGTTCTTATCTAATAAATATGATCTATTTTTAAAGTAGGGATGCAGTATTTTAATGTTCTAATATCAAGTCTTATCTGAAATCCCAAGAACACTAGGAGTCCTTAGTCATCATAGACAACGGAAATGAAATCATTTTTATGAATGAGCATACTATTTGGACAATTGCTTATCACACATCATTAAGTCTGCTGCTAAGAAGTTCTCACAGAAGTATTTACCTGTATTTCTCAATAACATGAAGCAAACTTTGCTATTTGGTTAGATTTCCACTATGAATTATTCACTGTTTAATATAATTCACATAGCTAATTGTTAACATTATGCTGCCACATATGCCAGTTCTCAGTGTGGAAAAAGGGTCTCTGTCTTATTTTTGTGTGATTTTTCTCTCTGACAAAGGGCCCTGAAACCCTTACGTACACAATTCTATTGTGAGAATTTGCTGTTTTGTGGGCAGCCTATTCCATTGCAGAATTTTCCAAAGTTATGGAATTATATAGTTACAAAGTTCTGCTTTCTATTCAGGTAAAACCTTTCAAAAACTTTCTCACAGTAGATCATAGAACCCATGTCAAACATCTTCTACAACAAAAATAAAGATGGCTTCATAGAAACTCAGAATCAACACTCCTCACACTATTGAAATAAAAGATGTTGACAACAAAAATATCATTGGTAAAAAGCTACTAAAATAAAAGACCTAGTTTTTCTCTGCCAAGATATACTGATATAAACGTGTAGAGGGGTTAGAAGAGGGAGGGGTAAAGAAACATAATTTTGTTACTTAAATGATCTTAGTTGACTTGGAAATACGCCTGCCTCCCACAACATACACAAAACTAGGACTTTGGTTGATGTCCATTTGCCTGGACAGACTCTTTCTTGAAGATCAGTGCAATGAGGCTGATGTCCACCCAAGTATGACCTGAATACACGTAAGAAGTAATGAAGTCATATAAAAGATTTCCCAATTTAAACTGCTATTTGAGAAGTAGAAAAAAAAACTTCTAAAAAATTAGAATATCAAGTAAAAAAAAATTAAATAAGAAAAATGCCTGGCCTTCTTGGTAGAATCATCCCTTCAGCTCACAACAGTCTAATTTCTTTTTGGAATATTTCACTCTCTCCCTCTAACCCAGTAGTGTAAAATCTTGGTAATAGTATCAGTCAGAATTGCCCATCCTCCCACAAGTCCAGATTGCATATTCATCAGTGCCCACTGCCTATGATCCTAAAGCTATCCTCTTTTCTCTCCAGTCTCTATAACCTTGTCTTTCATTTTTCCTTTTTCTTTAACATACATGATATTGCTTAGCTGGTTTTAATTTAAAATCACACCATCTTTATGAGGCAGAGGTTGGATTTTACAATGAAATGAGTCTTATATTTTGTCATCTTTATCTTCCAATAAAAGGGTTGTCATATGAATACTAAATGTTAATCTCTTATTTATAATCAGTTTTTAATTGTAAATTGTTGA